ATAGAGAGAGAGAGAGAGAGAGAGAGAGAGAGAGAGAGAGTTGTATTCGTGTTCGGCTCGTTAACTTAACTAGCGAGCTAAACACGAGCTGCTCGCGAACAACAAGCTGTTTTGACAGCCCTAATTATGATCTACTTCTTCACTGCAGAGTAATGCCTCATTTGGCTCATGTGGTGTGGCTCCAAAGGCAGTAAATATTCTTACTCAAGGAACTGGCGGGAAGACAAAAGCTATTTCTTCAATGGGTCAGATGTCTTATAAGGACAAATTGCTATGGATGGCTGGATCAGCCTTGGTCATCCTATTGGTCAACATGCAGCCATAATATCTCTGGTGGAAACAAATAATTGTAATGCTAATCTAGCCTTCTGCTTTCATTGTGTTATATTTGTTGGGTTTTGGTATTATTATTAGATATGATTTATTCTATTTAGTCTTTAATTCAATAATAACAGCCAAGGTTGGAATCATGTGTTTATATACTACTAACTAAAATTTTAAAATTTACCAAAAAAGGGCATTTACATACATACAACCTAATTTCTATGCATTTATATATCTAACACTTACATTTATACCACCCAAATATTTGATATCATATAAAAAATAACACTATCTTAACTTCACAAAAATGGATGTTACCTTAGGGTGCGTATGGGGGGACTTATCCGCGGCTTATGTATTTTGAAAACACGGGCGTTTGGTTTTCGCGGTTTCAATGCATCTCATTTTTTTGTTATAACAGTATGTGGCCCGCGCCCTCAGGGTCGCAGGCCAACATTTTGATCTTTTTTTACTTTACTTACCCTCTTCCTGTCGCCTTCCCCAGCTCGTGCCCTAGTTAAAAATTTTGATCGCTCGTGCTTGCTTTCTCACTCGTCTTACTTTTCTCTTCCTCTTATCCCCTGCGATCCACTCTCGCTGCGCTCAGTAAGTACTTACCCTTGGTTTTTTTGTTTACCATAACAATAGAGGATTGCGTGTGGATGGCTTTGACGGATTGCGTATTAATGGAGGATTTCGATTTTTAGGGAGAAACTTTCTCCTTGCAATTTTAAGGGTGAAGCATTGAATGGCATTTTGTGGTATTTCTGCTTCATTGGGGATTTCAATGTGTTCTATTTTGAGATGGTTTTTGTTTCCCTTAATGGAATGTCGATGTGTTATGTGGCATTTCAGTGATATTTTTGCTTCATCATTCTCTACTTAAAATACTTCTATAACGGGAAGCATTTAATGACATTCTCTGGTATTTTTGTTTCATTGAAATGTCGATGTGTTCTGTGGTATTTCTGTTTTGAGTATGTTGGATGCATGACAAAAATGATGCAGATTGTTCAATGATGCAGAGAAAAATTATCATGCCACAAATAAATATGAAGGAAATATAGAGAATGTATTTATCTCTACATATAGATAACTCTTTTTCCTCTAAGAAAAGCATTTTGAAATGAACGCTTCACAACAAAATGGAATGTTGCCTGTTTGCTTCTTGATAATATATGGTCCATCTTAGGTGGATCCAACCTTGATGATAAATAGTTCCTAATCTTAGTTGTAGTAGACTAGTTGTTAAAGGCAATCTAAAATTGGTTTCCTTTCAAGCATCCCAAATTTGGATAGCATATTACCAAGTCAGTTTTACTTTGGATTTGTTCGATCCTAGGTGGATCCCAAACCATGGATAAAACTGATCTACAACAACAAACCTTCCTTAGAATTAAATAATAAGCCTTAAGACTTCGAGGTAGCTCTTTTAGCATAACGTAAATCCTCAGCTTTACTTTAGGCCTTTTTTGCATAACGATTTTACTAGATTGATGGCTCGACACTGGGAGGTTTTTTGCTACTTCGCTGTAATAGCAGTTATTTCTATTGTGAGGAAATTTTATGTGAATCTTCTTGAAACTCTAGAGGATGAGGTATTTTTTTGAGAAAGGGGAGTTGAGTTCATTCCGGACAGGATCAATGTGCTATATGGTTTACCTCCTGCTTTGGATTAATACTATTTAGAGTTTGAGCCTTCTAAGTCAGAGGTAGATGAGATTATTGCTTGCCTTACAGATGGGCGAGGAGATTGGAAGATCAGGAACGAGCATAAGGTAAAATTTTCTTCTTCTACACTTAATGCCCCATCGAAGGCATGACATTTATTTATTTCTGCTCGATTACTTCCTTTGAATCATTTGAGCGATGTGACTCGGGAGAGAGCCATTTTGAGTTATGTAATGTTGGTTCACTCCTATTCAAGGCCATTTACACCTTCACCAGAGCTAGTTCTTATGTAGGTTTGGGTTTCCCTTCCCTTATCTTTACTATCTACAAAGGATCTGGAGTGAATTATGAAACTTGAGAGAAGTAACTAAAGCCACTCAAGCCTCTTGGAAAGGCTAATGTGGACATTTATAAAAGATCTCGATGTGCAACTTCTGATATTCCATTTACTTCTACCTCTAGACCTTCTACCTTCAGTGCTACTACTCCACCTCCTAGTACTTGAAAATAACTTTTAAATTGAACCCTGGAATTTCAATAAGATATGTTCTTAATGCAATGCAAGCTTCAAGATAATGAGGATCATTGGAGTCACCTAGAACAAGAAATGAGAAGGAAGAGTGACCATGAATCTAGCTTCAATACTTCCTTGGTGAGTTTTATGGATGGTGATCAGAGAGTTGAGTTTTCTAGTTATCCTCACTACGCTCTTTTTGAGTGCAGAAAGATGATGGATGAAGATGTAGATGATGATGAGGAGGAGGAGGAGGATGATTAGGGAGTCTTGATTATTTTTCTACTATTGTTCTTCCTATATATTTAGTTTGTTTTAGTACTCTTTGATGTATGTTGAACACATGTACTATATTTACTGTTCACTCTTGCTCCAGTTTAGTTTATATTTCCTGTGTGTTAGAGTAGTATTTTACTTCAAAATTTATATGTTATACATGTTAATTTTAGATGTACAATTACTCAACACCTGTTTGTACTACTTGCACCTGTACTGTTTCCATGTTTAGTACTCTGTTATAACTAATTTTGTTAAATTTTTCTTTCTTCACACTTGTTATATATTTTGATGTTTTACACAACTTAAACATTCAAGTTTGAGGAAGGGAGAAAATTTTTTTAAAACTAAACTTTATTTGTTCTTAATAAACTATATATTTTCAAAATTATTTTAACATAACATGTGGTATGTGGTGTTAACTTTAGATAATTATATTTTTTAATTTTATAAATGTAATAGTGAACTTAAGTAAAAGTTTTTGGTAATAAATGGTAATTCTAAAGTTAAGACATTTAGTATAAAAGTATCAAAATATGCTTTTACTATTCAAAGTAAGAAAATTTGTATTTTTAAAACACTAAGGATTTTAGATCTACTCTCTAAAAAGAATTAGAGTCTCTATGAAAAATCATTAATTTACTAATACACATTATTAAGTTTAGAAATGTGAGAAGTTTTTAACTTTAGGAAGAGAATAGTGAAGTTTAAAATCATTAAAAGCTGTTCAGATATAACAATCCTCACATAAAAAGAAAAGTGAAGTTTAAAATCATTAAAAGCTATTCAGATATAACAATCCTCACATAAAAAGAAAAAAAAAGTAAGGATTAAAAACGATCCTGAAAGAAAAAGAAAAGTAAAATCAAAAGAAAAAGAAGAGCAAAATCAAAAATCTGTGGGGAGAAGCTTGAGGAGATGCCTAGTTAAAAATTGGTTTCACTTGAATTATCTTAAAAGAAAACGCTTATTTACACTTTCGAGCTTATTCTTAATTTTAAAAGAATTATTATCTTTATTAATAGAGTTCTCATATAATTCTTTTCTTTTAATTCTTCTAAGATTCCTTAATGTGGCAAATTATAATTATTTTTGAAATGAATAGAAAATTAGAATTTCTAATTTGATTACTGGATATCCTTACATTTTAGTTTTAACTCGAGTTATTGAAAATTTTTCTAAAAGTCTTACTTTCACATTTATGGAAGAAAACTATAAGAGTCTTGAATTGAAATGTACTATCATAAGTTATTATATTTGGTTCATATAGTACAAGAGTTACTTGAGGGTAAGTAATGTTTAAGTTTGGGGGAATTGACACGCCTTAAAATTACCTTATTTTATATGTGTTTTTCATGTTCATTTTTATGGATATTGCGTTTTAATGAAAGATATTTTGTGTGTTTTTTATTTCAGGTACAAGAAATGGAGTTTAAAAGCGAAAGAGCAAATGAAGCCAAATAACAAAAAAATTGACCTGACGCCTAGACGCTAGAGACACTTATGTATCTATTCAATGAATTTGGACGAATTTTGAGAAGGTGCCTGAAGTGACTCTTGGTTATTTTTAGAGCTTTATATATAGGAAGCATTTCTACACGTTTAAGAAGAGAGGAGGAGAGGAAAGTTGTTTTTGGGTAGGTTAGACCACTATTGGGGTGGACGACCACCATAGTGAGAGTGTGGTGATTTTGAGTGTTTATTGATTCTTGTGAGTCTTATGAAGTCAAGTTCAGTCAAGAAACTTTAGAGAATTACTTGTGGAAAAATTTGTGATGGTACTTTCACTAGTTCTTAATTTACTTTGCAAATTGGACATTTGTGATGTTAAAATCTGTTGTGAAATATAATGAACTGGTGAGCTTTGATTTAACCCAACTATTGAGTATCACTCTATCGGTCGTCAACATAGAAAAATGATATATATATATACACGAGCCGGCCTGAGTGCATCTGCTTTGCAGAGCTCGATCGAGTGGATATGCACATGAAGGCGGCCAGGGCCATAGGACTTTTCTATTGACTATTCTTAAAAAATTAGACATGGAACCCTCACCATTAGAAACTC